CGATTGATCCAAACTATTCGAATAGTTCTTGAGTTATTCGAATAAGTCGACAGTTTCAACTACCAAACGGCTAGTTTTTTTGAATTCTTTTCATCTCTATCCACTCCCTAACTTCTATAAACAACCCTCTTCGTGATTATCTTGATGAGAACACTTAGAACACTTTGAAGAACATATCCTTTGAATATCCAAAGAGATTCTACTCAATCCCCTCCTTATATCCAAGCAAGGCAATTGTTTTGATTGCTAAATCATTTCTTGCTTGAGTTTTTCCTCATTGCTTGAGTCTTTGAGAGATATTTCCATATTCTAAAGGACTTCATTGTATTTGCAACAATCTACTCCGTGTTGGGAGAATTACTCAGTTGCGGTTTGTTTTCTTACTTTCTTGTAAGGGATTTGTATTCTTGGTGTTGGGATTACACCAAGTGGTAGAAACCCTAACGGTTTGTGAAATCAAACGTTAGGTGGAAGAAATCCTGAGTTTTGTGAAATCAAAACTTCGGTGGTAAGATAAGAGGCTTGTGAAATCAAGTTCTCGAGTTGTATTCGGATTGTCAAACTCCGTTAAGTTTGACGGGTAAGTGAAGGCCTGGGCACGATTGCTTCGGGGACTGGATGTAGGCATTTAGGCCGAACCAGTATATATCGTGTGTGCGTTGCTCTTATCCTTCACTTTACTTTGTTTGTGGTGCATTGATTTTATTGAATATTCGTGAAGAACGTTTCCGCGCAAAGAATTGGTCTTTTGGGCAACACCTCTATTCACCCCTCCCTCTAGAGGTGTGCGAGGCGTCTAACAGACTCTGAAGAGCAACTAAGGATACTCCAGGAAAAATGGAGTGATCTGCTTGATATCAACAAGAGGAATGTATCTGAAAATCTCCTCTTAAAAACTAAACTGCAGATCTGTGAACAAACTGTTGAGAAGCTGCAACAAGAGCTGAATCAAAAGGAAACAGAAAATGCCAATCTGAGGCATGAGCTTGATCATCACGTGAAGTATCAGAAGTAGATGAATAAAGCAGGAGCATGAATTTCACAAGAATGGATGCTGAGCACCGAGGCAAAAGCCATTAAACATCAAGTTGATATCTCCAAGATGTATGGAGATAGAACCGGGCTGGGTTATCCAAAAGGAGAATCATCCAAAACACCATTAGATCTCTTCATCAAACGAAGTGACATCAGGGAAGAGATAGACAGTCTGCCAGTTAAGGTCCCGCAAACAACAACTGGTACATCACACAAAAATCAGAGGCATCATGCATACACAAAAAATCCATATGAAAACTACAGATGCTATCGATGCAAAGAATGGGGGCACATTAGAAGGATGTGCAACAGAACCAAGAGAGGAAGACAGAGAAGCCTAGAGTCAAGCAGATATGGGTGCAAAAGCATGTGGCATCACATGCAAACTCATGCATGCGAGTGACTCCAGAGCAATGGCTATTGGATAGTGGATGCTCACATCACATGACTGGAGACAACAAAAGTTTGAAGAACATGCAAGAAATAGAAGGAGGCAGTGTCAGATTTGGAGGAGGGGCACATGGACAGATCATTGGATGTGGAATATTAAATGTCACTGGACTTCCTTCTATCAAGAATGTCTGGCTAGTTGAGGGATTACAAGTAAACCTCTTAAGCATCAGTCAGATATGTGATCAAGGTTTAGAGGTGACTTTTACTCAACAAAAATGTCGAGTAAAGGACAAGAACAAGTTGGTTGTACTAGAAGGCGACATAACCACAGACAACTGTTATAGAGTGAGCCCCAACAAGTTGGTTGTACTAGAAGGCGACAGAACCACAGCAAGTGAGAAAGATGCCAGACTATGGCATTACAGACTGGGGCACATCAACTACAAGGATCTGGCAACTCTCTCAAACTTAGGAGCTGTGAGAGGTTTACCAAAAATCACAAAAATTAAAGATGAGTTATGCAAACCATGCCAGCTTGGTAAACAGGTCCACTCAAGTAATCCAAAGAAGACATTCAGAACAACTCAGCAACCACTTGAATTACTTCATCTTGACCTATTCGGTCCCATGAAGACTGAAAGCATAGGAGGGAAGAGGTTTGTGCTTATGGTGGTGGATGACTTTACAAGATACACCTGGGTGAGTTTTCTGAAGCACAATGATGATGCACTAGAAGCCTTTGCAGCTCTTTGCAACAAAGTACAAAATGAAAAGCAGCTGAAAATAAAAGGAGTCATTCGAATACGAAGTGACCATGGAGGTGAATTTGAGAACAAGCCTTTTGAAGATTACTGTGATCAACATGGGATATGGCATGAGTTTTATGCACCAAAGACACCACAACAAAACGGAGTAGCTGAAAGGAAAAACAGGCATGTTCAGGAGATGGCACGAACAATGATAAATACTTTTGATCTGCCTAATAAACTATGGGCAGAAGCCGTTCATACAGCATGTTACACTATCAACAGAGTATACATGAGAAGTGGAACACAGTCAACTCCCTATGAACTTTGGAAGGGAAGAACACCAAGCATCGCTCATTTCCATATTTTTGGAGCCCGGTGTTTTGTTCTAAGAGACCGAGAGCAAAAAGGAAAGTTTGATCCCAAAAGTGATGAAGCTATCTTTGTTAGGTACTCTCCAAACAATAAAGCTTACCGAGTCTACAACAAAAGAACCACAACAGTCATGGAGTCTACAAATGTGATTGTTGATGATTGGATGGAGAGAAAAAACCAGGATGATCCAGAAGATGCTCCAGCAACTGATATAACACGTGTTGAATCAGATCAAGAAGCTCAGCCAAAAGAAACACAAACAACTGAAGATGAGGAGCATGTACCAGAAACATCTACAGTTCCCACACATATTCAAAAGAATCATCCCCTGAAGAATGTCATCGGATCACCAACAGAAGGGATCAAGACCAGGAGAAAGAACATAAATTTTCTTGAGATGACAAAGGCTTACTATACATCAACTTCAGAACCCAGAAACATAAAGGAGGCGCTTACTGATGAAGCATGGATAAATGCAATGCATGAGGAGCTAGAATAGTTTGAGAGGAACAAAGTTTGGGAACTAGTACCAAAACCAGATAGGGTGAATGTAATAGGCACTAAGTGGATCTACAGGAACAAAACTGATGAAGAAAGAAATGTCATAAGAAACAAGGCAAGACTGGTGGCTCAGGGATACACACAAGTAGAAGGAGTAGACTTTGAAGAAACATTTGCACCAGTATCACGACTGGAGTCAATACGTATGCTCATCAGCCTGGCATGCATACTCAATATGAAGCTATATTAGATGGACGTAAAAACAGCTTTCTTGAATGGCTACCTAAAAGAGGAAGTATATGTGGCTCAGCCCAAGGGCTTTGTTGATCAAAAACATCCTGAGCATGTGTACAAACTAAGGAAGGCACTCTATGGACTAAAATAAGCACCTTGAGCATGATACGAGAGACTCACATCATATCTGTTAAGAGAAGGATACAACAGAGGAGGTGTAGATAACACAATGTTCTTCAAAAGTTATGACTCAGACATCCTGATAGCTCAAATATATGTTGATGATATTGTGTTTGGATCAACCTCAACGACACAGGTCAACCAGTTTGTCAAAGTCATGGAGACAGAATTCGAAATGAGTATGATAGAAGAGCTAACCTTCTTCCTAGGACTACAAATCAAACAAACTGCTGAAGGAATATTTATTTCTCAAACAAAGTATGCTCAAAACATGCTGAAAAAGTTTGACATGGGTGATTGTAAAAGTTCTCGAACACCCTGTCCAACGCATGAGAAGATTTGCAGAGATGACCTAGGAAAAGATGTGGATCCTACCAAGTACAGAGGAATGATAGGAAGTCTAATATACCTAACTGCCAGCAAACCAGACATATGCTATAGTGTGGGAGTCTGTGCCAGATATCAAGCATGTCCAAAAGAATCACACCTCAAGGCAGTAAAAAGAATTCTGAAATATATCAAAGGGACACAGAATCTAGGGCTGTTGTACGTCAAAGGTGGTACAGCAAACCTCACAGGCTACAGTGATGCTGATTGGGCCGGAAACATATATGAAAGAAAAAGTAATTCAGGAGGGTGTTTTCTTCTTGGAGGAAATCTAGTAGCTTGGATGAGCAAGAAACAAAACTCAGTGTCTCTGTCAACTGCTGAAGCAGAATACATAGCGGCTGGGAGCTGTTGTGCGCAATTATTGTGGATGAAGTCAATGCTAGCAGACTATGGCATCAGTAATGGCACAATACCTCTTTACTGCGACAATACAAGTGCAATCAGTATTTCAAAGAATCCAGTCTTACACCCACGTACCAAGCACATCGATATAAAACATCACTTCATACGTGAACTGGTAGAAAATAAGACAGTTGCTTTAGAACATATTCCAATAGAGGAACAACTTGCAGACATCTTTACTAAGGCACTAGATGGAAATAGATTTGAAAAGCTCAGGTCAGATCTGGGCCTTTGTGCTCCTTTCTAATTTGTTTACACGTGGACACTTAAAGGCCAGCTCAGAGTGTACACGCCATGTCATATGCTGGATTGTTTTTGTGAAAGGATAGTGTGGGGCGCATCTTTTAATATCTGTGACATTATGAAGCACGCTGCTCAAAGAACCACCTGAAGCCGTAGTGTTCTCAAGAAACGAAAAGGCACACAACATATATGCTCCTAATAGAAGATAAACCGATTCACCTGGCCAGACTTTCTCACATTCATCTTCTCCGTTCTTACTCAGAAACCCTAACTCTCTGCAAGAATCTTCAAAGAAACTATGGTGAACGCAAACGGCGCAGAAGGACGAAGCCTACTGGTTTCAGAAAGAGAGTGCCGAACGCCGGCGGTAGAGAGACGCCGCCGCCGCTGCACCCTCCAGAAAAATCGACGACACAAGGCTCCCTTCGGCGATTCACTTTTTCCGGCCAATATGGCCGGCCAACGGCCGCCGGATCCCTCCCATCACCCTCCTGACGTCCCGGCGTTTCCATCGAGCCATCACACGCCGGAAACCACCACTGGAAACGTCCCAGGCGCTGCAGCGATCGTGGCGGCTCTGCCACCATTTTTTCTGGCGTCTACAGGTCCCGGCGATGATCCCCTTTCATCTCAGGTTCTTCCCCTTCCTCAGACGACTCCATCGCACCCATTTGCAGCCTCATCAGGCGCTGGAATGGGGTGCACCAGTGCTGCGGCCATGGCGGGTCTTCCCGTCGGGTCGCCACCTCCTTCTCTGTTTCCAGGGCAATACAGCATCGCGCAGCTCCCCCACGTGCCTCTCCCGGTCTTTACGAGTGCAGCAAGCCATGCTCCATCAATTTTGGTGACCGGTAGCTCTGGTTTCAGTTCCGGCGAACCTCACACGGCGCTAATGGCATCTCAGTTGCCCAACTCTTTCTCTCCGGCTGTGCCCCTGTCCCAAGCAGTTACATTTGGTCCTTACACTCCCATGATGGTTTCACAACAGACCTTGAACGTGGAAGGCAGCAAAAACATGTTGGTTGCACCCATGGCTCACAATTCCACTTGCGCACCAGGTGTTTGTGGAAATGTCTCAATGACTTTTCCCACTCCTTCGCCAGATTTCCTAAAGGTCAAGGTCCCTATCAACTCTCTTAACTATTTTAATTGGCAAGACATCCCTGGTGCAGTTCTTAAAGGTTTGGTAGATTCGGAACATGTCATAATGCATGTTCCTGTGCCATCTAACAGAGTGATGGTTGCGGAATTACAGGGCCCCCGACAGTGGGAACGCAATCAACCTGGTTTACCTACGGGGATGCCACTCATGGGTCTACCCCTCCACGAAGCTGGGTAACGATTGGGGGTACACAAATTTGGGTAATTAAACGAGCTTCCTCGTGAAAAAGAAGCACGACTTGCCCAAGAAGCTGCAAAACGAGCTATGCATGATCCCTCCACTATGAATGAGGCGCTGGTCCAGTTTTCAAAAGCACAAACCAGCATTTTAGGCCCTGTTTCTTTGCATGAAGCTACGGCAGTAGCTACTGCTCCAACGTCCATGCATGCACCTCATGCTCAAGCACGGCCAGGGGGGAAAAAGGGGTTACTTTTGCTCCTCACTCTACTGCACCTATGGAAAGGCAAGGAGTTCTCTCACAAAAATTGGATGCCATCACATCTAAGAGTGCTACGGCAGTAGCAACTCCACGACAAGAAGGTCCACACGGCATACCTAAGTCTTCCTTTGCCCAAGTCGTGGCTGGTCCTTCTATGGCTGGCACGTCAAAATCCTTTGCACAAGCACTCACTGGCTCAACCAATCCAGGTATTTCTTTACGGGCCACTGCCTCCCGCCCATCTGCTATTTTACCAAATGTTGTTGTTGAGGATAAGAATCCCACATTTCATAGGGGTACTCCCGGAGTTGTTTTTAAAAAGTCTGAAATGCAAAGACTTTCTCAATTGGATAATTTTCTTCTTATTGGTAAATTTTCACATGGTCGTCCTGAGATTGCCACATTGAGAAAGTTTTTTGCTGAAAAATTTCTTCTTCGGGAGTCGGTTCAGATTAGTCTTCGCGACCCACGTCATGTTATGCTTTTATTCACCCATCCTCTTGACTGTAATGATATATTCATGCAAGGGCAGATTCAGTTTAACGGACAATTTCCCATGAGACTGTTTCGGTGGTCCCCGGAATTTAATGTTAAAACTGAATCCTTCGTTGCGCCGGTGTGGGTGACTTTTCCTAATTTGAGGGCTGATTTATTTAATGAGAGTGCTATCCACCAGCTTTGTAAGCCCATTGGGAGGTGTTTGAAAGTAGATGTTGCTACGTCCACCTTTTCACGTCCCAATGTGGCTAAGGCTAGGGTGGAGATTGATCTATTGAAGCCTAGGATAGAACAGTTTTGGATTGGTTTTTCTGATGAGCCTGGAGAGGAGGATGTGGGCATGTTCCAGTCTGTGGAATATGAGCGCATCCCAAAGTATTGCACGGCATGTTACAAGCAGGGTCACGACAATTCTTCGTGCAATACTTTGACTCCTAGTCAGCCTGATCAGAGAGCCGTTGTTGTGGTTCCCCAACCTTCCATGCCTGCACCTACGAATACCCAACCTCCTCGACGGAGGCGAAGTAGGAGTAGGGTCAGGCGTCAAAGGGAGGGGAAAGGTATTGCCATTGTTGATGCAGGTACAAGCGCAGGTGGCTCCCAACGGGAGGAGTCACAGTATGTTTGGCGAGAGAAGACAGCGAAAGGGTCCAGACCTATTGAGGTCGTGGACACTGATGATGTAGGTAAGGGGGAGGGACCCTCATTGCAAGCCTTTGTGCCCACTTCTTCCCATCCCTCCCCGAATGTTGTCATACCTGATGCTTGCTTAGTTCCTTCTACTGTTGTTAACGCCACTCCTCCCACATCGGTTGTGGTTGAACAGTCGGCGTCTCAGGCTTTAGAGCCATCTGTTCCTCCTACCGGAGTTGAGCAAGGCCCCGTTGTTGCTTCTCTTCCTCTCTCTACTTCTTCTTCTTCTATTGTACATGTTCCCGATCCTCAACTCCCCGAGCTGGCTCTGGCTATGTCTAATACTTTTGATGCTTTGGGGGAGATGCCTGGGGACAGTCATGAGGACTGCGACTTTAATACTGCTGCATCCTCCATTCCTTCCGATTCGGTAAGGAAGGAGGATGACGATTGTAGTTCGCAGACTAGTGACGGGTCCATGGGTGATCATTTTGAGGATCCGACTGACATTGCCCGGGATCTTGCAGCGAGTGGTGTCTCTCCTGCAAGGGAGGCTCCGACCACAAGGGGTAAGTCGGCTAAAAACGCTCGAAAGGCAACAGAGCACAAGACGTGGGTGCCTCCTGCTCCACGCAGAGTCACCCGTTCCACTTCTTCTCGTTCTCAATGATGGTGTGGTTCCTTGTTTGGAATGTGAGGAGCATCACCTCACAAGATGTCCTTTCTAAGCTTCGAATTTTACTTAAGCAGCACACCCCAGTGTTGTTAGGTATTTTGGAGCCTATGAAGGCATCCTCGCAGATTGACTATTATAGGACACTGTTGGGTTTCACGGGAGCTAGGTGTGGTGCAGATGACCAAATCTGGCTCTTTTGGAACTTTGACATTGCGCCGTCCATTCATTTTATTTCTTATTTTGCACAGTCACTAACCTTTTCTTTCTCTCACCCTTCTTTTCCTAACCCTCTTTGGTTGTCAGTGGTTTATGAAAAATGTAAGTACAGGGAAAGGGAGCCATTGTGGGAATATCTTCGAGAGACACACGCCGCTCTCCCGGCTGACATGGCATGGGGGGTGGTGGGTGATTTCAACTGTCTGCTCGATCCCTCGGAGAAGAAAGGAGGCCGGCCGTATGCTCCAGTCAAATATCGGCCTTTTGTTGAATGTGTGGAGGATTGTGAACTGGTTGATTCTCCTTTTATTGGGGAGGATTATACCT